AGCACTCGTCAACAACTCGGTATAAGGGAACTGTGGGACCTCATTTCAAACTCCTTCCTTACGGCTGCAACCGAAACCATTGGATTTCGGAAAGTGCGAAAGGACAGCTGGTACGACGAGGAGTGCCGTGTTGCAGCGGAGAGAAAACAGGCTGCCTGCCTCGCAATGTTGCGATCGATYACAACACGTGCGGGATGGGATAGATACCGAGAGTTGAAAAGGGAAGSRAGACGCATTTGCAGACAGAAAAAGAAAGAGGCCGAAATTCGTGAGTACGAAGAGCTTGATAAGCTGGCCGACAGGGATAATCACGACCGGAGCATACTCTTGTAGAACCAACAAAAGTGATCTAGTCACCGATTCCCAGAGCATACTTAAATTGTGGAAGGAACATTTCTCCAGCCTGCTGAATGGCAGTGAGCGCACAACGCTATTCCATTGCCCGACCATGAAGAAGTTCGTATAGCAATTACCCGCCTGAAGAACAACAAAGCGGCGGGGGCCGATGGATTGCCGGCCGATGTATTCAAACACGGTGTCGAAGAACTGATAAGGAGCTTGCATCAGCTTCTTTGTAAAATATGGTCGGACAAAAGATGCCCAACGATTGGAATTTAATCCACAAAAAAGGAGAACCCACAGTCAGCGCCAACTGCCGTGGGATAAGCCTCCTTAACATCGCGTATTGTGTGAATGATTAAAGCCCACCGTTAACAAACTGATTAGACCTTATCATTGTGGCTTTAGACCTGGCAAATCAACAACCGAAGAGATATTCACCATGAGCCAAATCGTGGAAAAGACTCGTGAAAAGAGAATCGACACACACCATCTCTTCGTCGATGTCAAAGCTGCTTTCGACAGCACGAAAAGGTGCTGCCTTTATGCCGCAATGTCTGAATTTGGTATMCCCCCAAAACTACGGGGTATGTTGAGCATCACCAAAAGCTCCGTCAGAATCGGGAAGGACCTGTTGACAGTTATAACTTTGAAGTCGTAGATAATTTCGTCTATCTTGGAACCAGCGTGAACACCACCAACAATGTCAGCCTGGAAATCCAACGCAGGATAACTGTTGTCAATAGGTGCTACATCGGACTGAGTAGGCAGTTGAGAARCAAAGTCCTCTCTCGACAAACTAAAACCAAACTCTATAAGTCACTCATAATTCCCGTCCTGCTATATGGTGCAGAGGCTTGGACGATGTCAACAACTGATGAGTCGAAATTGCGAGTTTTCGAGAGAAAAGTTCTGCGAAAGATTTATTTCCTTTGCGCGTTGGCCACGTTGAATATCGCATTCGATGGAACGATGAGCTGTATGAGATACATATATGACGACATTGACATAGTTCAGTGAATTAAAGGCAGCGGCTACGCTGGCTAGGTCATGTTGTCTGAATGGACGAAAACACTCCACCTCTGAAAGTATTCGACGCTGTACCCGCCGGGGGAAGCAGAGGAAGGGGAAGAAGACCAGATGGAGAAGGACTTGGCTACGCTTGGAATATCCAATTGGCGCCACGTAGCGAAAAGAAGAAACGACTGGCGCGCTGTTGTTAACTCGGCTATAATCGYGTAAGCGGTTTCTACGCCAATTTAGAAGAAGAAGATGACACTGTGACCCTCCTAATCGTTGAAAGTAGGTAACGCGCAGTCTTGCGGAGTTTTACCCAGCCGCGAAGTAACACGGCTTCTAACCTAATCGGTGGCATTAAATTTCAATCCAATCGGCATGTCTGTTCGGATTGAACAATACTTTGAGAGAAACCCAGAGCTTACTCGCACCGGTGAAGAGGTGACAAGTTCTTCTTATTCCGCTTATGCTGATTAACAATTGGTGATTCTACGAATTGAGATTCCTTAAGCGATGATCATTTACTAAAACTACTGCTTCGGTTGGGAAATTGGGACGGARGCCAGTGATTCTTCCAGCCAAGATGAAGCAAACGGTAGCAACAGAAGTAGAAGGTGTTCTCGACAAATTCCAAACAAACTCTTTCAGCTTTGTTAATGTTAACAAAGGTGCAGTTTTCCATAGAAATAAAGTCTGGAGGTCTGAGGATAATTATTACAGAATATTGTTGTTGTGGTATTTTAAGAATTCTACAATGTCCTTGGCCGAATAAAAATCCTGGTTCGTTCCGGTTACGTAGACCCGATCATCTATTCAATATCGTCATGATCATCTCTTGATGTCCTTCCTTAAGAAGCGTGCATGCTTTCAGTTTAAGAATACAATATTTTTAATTTTTACGCTCCCTCTCTCTCAAAGCTCAGTTCCTAGGGTGTAATCGCAAACAGTATTCGAAATTATTTTGATTTAAAATATTTCTTTAAATAGCTGTCCATGACATTCGATCAACTTTTATAAATATATGTATGTGTAATAAAGAACTAAGATTAACTCATGTATGTACTCATGTAAATTTTTATAGATATGAAAATAAGTAARCAATTAATTACATTAATCTTTTACGCTTTAATAAATTAAAATCGCCATAAGTCGTATAGCTATCTGTAAGGAATGGTATGTAAAATGCTCTGAAGAGTTTATGAGAATTTTCTTGTATAAGAAAAGGYAGAGTTTTGTATGTCGTCCACTCTTTGAAAAGTTTAGAGTAGTTTGGTTCCAGGTCTGTATATTTTCCTTCATCAAAATAGACCAGAAAGTCGCAATTATTGTAATTAAAATAAGACCTTTCGTCTTCCTTATTCTTGTCGTTAAAATAAGGATGTAATACACGTGTAGCATTTTCACCATCAGCATAGTAAAATGGTAGCATGCCTCGAAACTCTGATTTTAAAAAGCGTAAACGGAAATTATTCGGTGGCAGAAAGAAACTTCCGGGATAACGATGCCAGTCTTTTCCAATGCAAACATTATATATTCTATCACTTCGATATTCCTGCGAAGTCGCAAACTGATTTAATTCCATAAAGATGTCCATCGGTGCATGATAGTTTCTATATAAAGAAAAAACTCTCGACAAACCCAATATCGTACTTAGAAGCATTACAGAAATAGCTATAAACATAGTGTGGTCCAAATAATGGGAACCCACCGCTATTTTACTGTTTAATATTAAATATTTTATCCGATAAAACAGACGTTGAAACACATCCACAGTAATTGCGCCGCATAATGTGATCATGGGATAAATTGGAAAAAGGAAACGTTCTTCTTTGTGGGGTTGTGGAAAAAACACCAAAAGCCATAGATAAAGTGGTGCCAATGACAAATATCGTGGGAAATTAAGTGTTGATTTGTGCTTTGCTGGCACGACAAAGTGATCAATTAGCAGTGCAATCGGAGTAACAAGGCAAAGCAGCTGAAACAGTTATTTTATATTACATAATGATACTTGGAGTTAGCTTTTCACACCACTTACCCAGACGATGTTAAAGTTCAAAAATCCGTTAATTAAATAGTATTTTAATGGTTCGGTGCCAAAAATGTTCGGTCCTTGGCTGGTGAAAACATTATAAATCACAAGATTTATAGGAGCTATTACTAATTTCCTGTAATAGGTGCTGTCAATAATAACCATCGGTATACCGATGGTAAATGCACTAATAACCGTCCATATTAAAAATGTTTTCCACAATTGTTTCCTCCAAAGTATATCCACAGCTATAGGTAGTCCTATCAAACCTCCAAAAGGCCAACCAAGAAGTGTAGAAATGGCAACGAAAAATATTGCAAGGCTATAGTTCAGATGCCACCAAGCAGCAAGAGCTGCACAACCAAAGTACATTGAGAATGAAGATGGGAGCAGTGCGGTGCTGGACACAAACATGCCCACACTAAAAAGTTGAAATATCAGCCATAATCGTCCTATATGTATACCAAATTCTTGACAAATAGACCTAAAATCATAAAAGTTTTAAAATTTTCAACGGTTAAATTTCTGAGTAAAAATAAATTAATCTTACTTGTACATAAAACGTTCCATAACAGCGCAACCAAACCCTAACATACATCGTATCATATAAAATATAAGTATGGGGCTTGGATTAAATAATTTGTGATATATCCATCCTGGTACCCCTTGTACTAGTAGATACGTATAAGAACGTAAAGCAAACTCTGGACTATATTCCCACGTTTGCAATCCATGACCATTAATGATGTAATGTAGTGGTTCCCAATAATTAAACGTCTCATCGCAATCAGCTATATATGACCAAATAGCACTGCATAATCTTGCACTAATTAAGGTCTTAAAAGCTGTCTCAACGCTCGGTATCATAGAAGTCTTTGCATCTGCAATCACAGGAGTTCCTATTTTTAAYCCATTAGCACTGTAAATAAGCCATATCTATGTATAATGCTATCTGTTTTCAAAAAACTTGTATACCTTTTTTTAATTTCTTTTCTTTGGTTATTGTGAAGTTTTTTAGGTGGCTTTTTTGTAAGAACAACTCCATTATCCGATTTATTAGCGTTATAYCGCAACCGTGCAGCCGGTGGAGCCATGTCTAGTTAATACGATATAAAATTCATCTAACAAAATAACAGGGTGTGTTTTTAATAAACTAACATATCTGTTTTTCTGTCCGAAGGATGAAGGGGTAGTACTCGTACAGCTATAGTGTTCATAATTGAATTCTTAATAGTATTTTATAATAAATTCATTAAGAGTAAATAGATGTTGTTCTCTCTTCAATATATTTTGTTCAAACTAAAGACATTCAAAACAATTGTGTTACCAGTTAAGTTGTTCAGTCAGTATGAAAAAGTGACATAAGCAAAACTTGATAAATAGTTAGCTTAGAATGCAATTATAATATAAAAAATATATATATTCTGAAAACAATATTTGTATTAAATACTTGGTTATATAAAGTTTCCATGAATTATAAACTATTTTAAAGATTGAACAAACTAACTTCGAAACTATTGCAACAAATTATATGCTGTCTAACCGGGACATAAGAAAATAGGTCCATTTCAAACCTGCAAAAATCAGCTGATATCTTTAGTTTCGTACACAATTTTTGTTTCACTTATAAATCACATTAAGCGATACCGAAGTAGAGTTATTAACTTATAGAAAAATAATTATATCTATATAAATTTAATAAAAATTTATTGCATTAAAATAGTGRATTAAACAATATAACACATAAGTAAATTTCAATAAAATGTCCAAAGACGATAGGGAATTGGATTTGTCAAATGCTGGTCGAGGTGTATGGTTGGTTAAAGTACCGAAATACATAGCACAGAAATGGTCAAAAGCTCCATCAAATATGGATGTTGGAAAATTACGAATTACTAAAACCCCAGGGCAAAAAGCTCAAGTGTCTTTATCATTAACACAAGCAGTTGTAAATCTGGATCCAGAGGAAAAAATTCCTACAGAACATATATTGGATGTTTCGGTTGTAACCAAACAAACTTTAGGGGTTTTTTCCCATGTTATGCCACCTGAATCAAATAATGTAAATAATGGAAAGGATAAAGAGACGCAATCTCCTATTGAATCTGAAAAACTGTACATGGAAGGGCGTATTGTGCAGAAGTTGGAATGCCGCCCAATTGCTGACAATTGTTATATGCAATTAAAACTTGAATCTATACGGAAAGCATCGGTACCTCAGCGCAAGGTTCAGCCAATAGATAAAATAGTGCAGAACTTCAAACCAGTTAAAGACCATGCTCATAATGTACGCAATCTGATTATAGATATATTAAGCAAAATTATAATGAGTATATAAGTTAAAAATATATATCTCTTATATTACAGATCGAGTATCGTGAAAGAAAAAAGGCGGAAGGTAAAAAAGCTCGCGATGATAAAAATTCAGTCATGGATATGCTTTTTAATGCTTTTGAAAAACATCAATACTATAATATTAAAGATTTGGTAAAGATTACAAAACAGCCTATTGGTTACCTTAAGGAAATCCTTAAAGAGGTGTGTGATTACAATATGAAAAACCCACATAAAAATATGTGGGAATTGAAGAAAGAATACCGCCACTATAAGACTGAAGATAAAAAGGATGATGAAAAATCCCCAACTGACAGTGATTCGGAGTAGATAGAAATATATTAATTTAAACTAAAAATATTTAATTGATATTTTTTTAATAAAAAGAGACTTTCCATATATGTAAACATTTTTATCAAATTTTGTAAGAATAATTGCGAAATGTGCACCATGAACGATTTGAACATTTGAATAACGTGTCAATAACGTGCATTTTTACTTCTTTAACTGAAATGCAGAAAAGCTACGTAGAAATTCGACGTAAATAGTGAAAACTTTATAAAATGAGGGATAAACCGTAAAAAGCCGTTCACCTAAGAGTAGAGTCTAGGTACACAGTGAGATTCGGATTTTTATTCRGTCAAGCACTTAACAACATAGCTTCTTAAAATTATGTATTCAGAGATCGTTGCTTGTCACACATCACAACAATAACCGCAAAGAAATTAAAAATATCGGAAATATAATATTTATATCAATTTTTTGTTTTTTGAGAGAAGTTAGTTAGATGGTATGATCTCATTATGACCAGGTCACCGATTCGTCTCTGTATAACCCAGTTGAGTTCATTACGAACCCAAGTCAACARTAAGCAAAGCATAGGTCCATACAACTACGATTCCCCCGACAGCCGGTCCTACGCACCGGAATTGACTCGGATTTCATCCGACCAAGGGCTGTTCTTTCGGCGATCTAACCCCGTTTGGATCGGTGAATGTTAATTTGTGTGTGTCTTCACTGTTGTTAACTCGGCTATAATCGCGTAAGCGGTGTCTACGCCAATCAAGAAGAAGAAGAAGAAGTCTTCACTGGAGCAACGCCTTGCAGCAGGGTTGCTCCGTATCCTCCTTACTCGTGCTGGCATTGAGTCCAACCCGGGCCCCGACAAAYTCTTCTTCTGCGTTTGCGCGAAAAGGCTCCATCGAAACTCCACCTCGGTCAGGTGCAACACATGCAATGGATGGAGCCATCTTAAGACCTGCTCAGTCCTTAAGACCCATAGGGAGTGGACCACACGTTACGTGACCCC